TTCCTCCCTCTGTCCCTTCCTTCTGGGGATCGGGCGATTGTCATGAAATCGACACATACGAATGTGCGTATATATTTGAAAGTAAGGTTCTCAATTGCTTTACTTACCTTGACGTAGATCATATGAATTCCTTAGTCCCTGAGCTACACCTTCATGACACTCGATCTTCTGCAGAGACCAATGATGATGATGATGATAAATGTGCAATATTTCAGGGGAGAGAGAGGAATGTCGAAAACACAGTTTTGAAGAATTAGAGCGAGTTCGTTCGTGGAGGAAACGTTGAAAATAAAATAAATTTTCCGATCTTAATTTGCTTCTGATCCTAATTGGTCCTCTGTCCTAGAGAGAAGAACTTCCCGCTGCCAGGAGATGGGACGTTGGAGGCGGTGCGAAATGAGATTCTCGCGCGAAGTCCTTTGGACGCGTCAGTTCACTACGGACAGGCCATTCCTTTCTACATGCAAGCTTTTGCGTGAGTGGTCTTCGTCTTATATGACTCGCTTTAGGGACGTCTTCTACTTGGCGCAGAACGTAAAGAAACGTAGTATTAAGTTAGCTGGGAATGTGTCGGCGCAGATGTTACCATTGCTTGAATTTTCCCTGTTTAATAAAGACAATGATGAAGGCCAGAATAAAAAAGTGCTTGAAACTAAAACTCGATTTGTACTTTTTTGGATGCTGATTTCAATAAACTAATTTTAAATCCCCCCATTTTTTCACAAATTAGTTTTTTTAACTTGATTACCTGAAGAAATACACTAAACAATTTGACATTCGCCTTGGCATTTCAGACTTAAGCTTCTTTCACAAGATAAGAATTCTGGTTTATATCCGAATTTAGCAGTCGCCTTCTAGTTTCACGAGCTTAAATCTTTTCAAGCTACTGCAATGCTGGATCAAGCCATCACACCGACCCCCTACTCCCTGTTTGCAGCAACGACATGGACGCTATAGAACGCATGGCGTACGAGTTCTGCGAGGACAAGGTTGAGCAGGGAGTGCTGTACGTGGAGGCTCGCTACGTGCCGCACAGGATGATGTGCTATAAACTTTCCCCGGGAAGGACCCACGTGGGTGAGCAACGAACTTTGCATGATGTTTCATCGTTGCTTTGGACCAGGCCACCCCGAGATGTCCGTAAGGTTAGCATACCCACTTATCACAAAATTAGAAATTACAGAATACAAAATTAGTAGAAAATTTTTAAATATGGGTAAAAATTAGTTCATAGTTAGAACAAACTTCTGGTACATTTTTTTATGCGTTTCTCGTGTGTGGGAATGCTAACTTAACGTCAAGTCAGCGTACCCACCTTTAGTGTTGAATATTTCGATGTTGCGCATCGTTTCAAAAGTTTCGAATTTGGGTATAAATTAGTCTTTAATTAGAACAAACTTCTGGTACATTTAGTTTTTATGGTTCATGCGTTTTTCTAGTGTGGGTATGCTAACGTTAAGTTATCGTACCCACCTTTAGTGTTGAATATTTTGATGTTGTGCATTAGTAGAAATTTTTTTAATTTGGTTGTAAATTAGTCCTTAATTAGAAAAAATTCTGGAATACAATTTTTCAATTTTGTGATAAGTGGGTATGCTAACTTTACGGCCATCTCCCCGAGCCGATCGCGGCGCTAGCCCATCCGGGCAGCGTTCTCCCTTAAGTCTCCTTCTGATGCAGTCACAAATATGCCCTGCACCTGGGTAACAACTAGAAGAAATTATCACGTGTGTAACTTTGTTGTATGATATTACCCACTTCATGTCCATAGGTAGAAATCGATCATTTTCGACCCCTGTACATGCCCTACAAGTTGGTAATATTTATTCTGAGATGTGCGGTAAAAATGTTTCAAAAGAATGTAAATTCAGAGACTTTTCTGAGAACATAAACACTTCTAAGTTAATCTAAAACATTCATTTCATATGCTTATTCAGAAATACAAATTTTTTATTAGGAAATGTAAATATAAATTTGTTAAAGTTGTATCAACTCGTAAGAAAGAGACATTGAGATATGTAGTTTCGGTTGCTGTGGACGGAAATTTTTAGAGCGAGACTGACTCGAGGTAGTAAGAAATGCATGCGTGAATGTCGGTCGAGATATTTTAAGTGAGATTCTAGTTTAATTGCGAAAATAGTAGCGGCTTTAAGAGTTTAGATGATTTTCGAAACCTATGGGAAGGTATTTAAAAACATTAATAAGTTGTTTCTAGAATATGGAACAAGATATCTGCGGAAGTGGATCAGGTGATAGATTGGCGATTGATGGTGGTAACTTGAATTCACACACAATATATTTTCTTTGTGTTGGAACTTCGTGTTTTATGTAAAACTACCTCAAGAGAGAGGCGAACGAACATCGACGTTGGGTAAGTGAAAAGCAGTGGCATCTGCATGTATTGGTGATACCAACAATCGCAGGTGTCTACAGGCGCATATACTGTTACGGGTCATACGTTCATTAGATATGTAGCAACGTTTTTATTTATTTTCATTGAATGTGGGTAGTATCATATCATTTCCACGGAATAGAATTTTATTTCTTTTTATGAATTTATCCATATTGCGTTTGCAGCGTATATGCTTGCTTTTGGAATAGGTTCATGTTATGTTCTTTTCTTACTATTTGAAAGAAATACCTATTCCCTAAAACTGAATGTTTTATTTTTGGAGACTAGTTATTTAAAATACCTGTTCCATCAAACAAAAGATTATTGTGCATTAAGGGCAGCAAGCTAATGGGTTACCGTCCTTTCGGTAATTCCTTCTCTCGTGGAACGCAAAAAAGGAAATTTGTTTGTCCACTAGAGAAAACAGAGGTCTTTGGGGCTCGTGTGGTCCAGACTAGTATTGTATTAAAAGGAGAAAATGATTGCAATCTGCGTTTTTCAGACCTCATTTGTTATTTATTTTATTTATCTTACGGCAAGCGCACAGGAACCAGAATACAGCAAATGCAGTCTAGTACATCACGATGTGACACCACAACAGTAGAACAGTCTTCAGAGGGGCACAAAAAATGGTTAGTCCCTGGAGGGGCGTGTCCAGCTTCTGAATCCATTCCACCGCCGTCTGTGTCAGACATTGGAAATCAGCCGGGTCCCCATGATAGGCTGTGAGGTCATCTCCACTGTGACGCACTCACTGGGGGGCACCACACTCACAGTCTGGAGACGGCACCACGCCCCATTTGAATAAGGAAGTCGCGCATCTTGTATGTCCAGTTCGCATCCGTCCTAATTTATTTTACTTCATTCGAGACGCTGGTCTTCGCGAGTATTCCCCTTTTGGTCGAAAGGGGAGGACGAAAGAGACGCTCTCGTGGCACAGTAGCAACGTCTTTCACCACTGAGGTTCCGGATACGATTCTCGTAGAATCCCCGTAGAACCTCATGTGAAATTTGTTATGACAAAACTAGTTTGCGTGCTCTACAGGGGCTGGTCCAACCCTGTGGAGCGTCCTATACCATACCCCTATCCTTATTCCTTTCCAATTCTCACCGATGGGTAGGAGACGTGAGCGCGAAGACGCTACCTGTGTGCGATTCCCTGATTTGACTTTTACTGACGAAACTTGACAACACAGCGGCCCCTTGAGGGCGCTTATTAACGGAGGATTATTCCAGTGCGCTCAACGCTTCTTACGGAGTTTGGAGACGCGTTGCGTCGCTATAAACGGAACAAATTAAAAAAAAGAAGGGCAATAAAAGTGAACGTTGACGTGGATGGTAACCATTTCTTGCTGTGGCGCAGAGCTGTGCGAAATCGTGTCGGCGGTGAACCGCGGCTTCCGGTCGGCCGAGCGGACGCTGGGCATTGTCGTGCGCTCGATCCTCGTCGTCATCGTGGGCACGGGCATCGCTGGCGACGTCATCAGCTTGTGCCAGCA